ATTTCTCGGTGGGTTTTTTTTTTTTTTTTTTTTTTTACAAATATAAAAAACAGATGTTAATTGATAGACATAGTCATGTGGATTACTTGTGGATTATTGTGATGTTTTTATCAGCTGTTTGGACTCTCATTCTGACGGCACCCATTCACTGCAGAGGATCCATTGATGAGCAATTGATGTAATGCTACATTTCTCCAAATTAGTTCTGAAGAAGAAACAAACTCATCTACATCTTGGATGGCCTGAGGGTGAGTAAATGTTCAGCAAATTTTCATTTTTGGGTGAACAATTCCTTAAAATTGGATTTTTTTAAATTTTCTTCAAATTAAAATACCAATCATCATATTCTTGCTATAACTGTTGGTTAAACAAATCCAAGCTAAACAAAACATAATAAAAACCACATTATTGACACATGTTCAGATTTCAACTGAAAATATTAAACGGTGTGCCCAGGACTTATAAAATATAAATATAAATGATGCGTAATTTCTCAAATGTTTTAAATGGTGTAATTAATTTTTTTTTCTTTTTTACATTTGACATGTTTGCTGTTACATGACTTGTTTTGTGATTCAAAAATGACATTTTGCTGAAAAAAAGTAAAAAACAAAAAAAAACAATTGCATGTCCATATTTTGACAACTTATAATGTCACAATGCCCTGCTATTGGGTTATGCTGTCACAAAATGTCAAAGTGTGTTAAAATGTATCTTTTTTCCTTGCCACACTGGAAATGTTCAATAGATTTTCTGTAGCAAAGCATGCCTAGAAAGAAACTGACTTTTAAAATGAATTTTGCTGAAAAAAAGTAAAAAACAAAAAAAAACAATTGCATGTCCATATTTTGACAACTTATAATGTCACAATGCCCTGCTATTGGGTTATGCTGTCACAAAATGTCAAAGTGTGTTAAAATGTATCTTTTTTCCTTGCCACACTGGAAATGTTCAATAGATTTTTCTGTAGCAAAGCATGCCTAGAAAGAAACTGACTTTTAAAATGAAACCTATTCTGAGTAAAACTGACAGACCCTTACCAAAAAGTAGTATACTTCAAGTTTATTTCATTAAGTATACTTAAGTAAAGTTCAAGTATATTTTTAAGTATACTTTATGTAGTAAGTATACAAATATAAGTGTACTAGTAGTATACTTGTAAGTGTACTATTTCAATACTCCTTGGGACTAAATTGGCCCACTTTCTAGTATATAAAAGTACACTTTGAAGTATAGTCTTAGTAAACTACTAGTTTAGTAGTTTTATACTGCAAGTATACTCGTAAGTTTTCTTTAAGTGAACTTTACATCATACGTTAAGTAAACTACTAAGTCCCTATTTAGGTATTATTTTGTATATATTTTGTTACATGTATATCTGAACATACAAAACATCAAAAGAACAGGGTATCTGCTTGTAAACAAAAACATTTTATTCTAGCTTCATGCATTCTTTTTTTAAACACTTGAATGTGGGTAAGTTTCATAAATAATAATAAAAAAGAAAT